ACACACACACACACACACTCATCCTTCTTTGGGGGTTCCTTTGGTGGCTTTTCTCAATACCAGAGGCAATTTAAGGGGGATTTTATTGCTGGCTACTAAAAGATCCTAACACATAGAACATATGCAAAAGTATTGATGCCTGTGGCATGGCCTACTGGTGATTCCATCATCAGTCTTGTTTATTCTATATTCTGAGTGTAACTCAGATAATTTTTGCTCTTGGAAGCTCCCCATAACTATGTTTGATTGAGCCCCTTATCATTTCTTGCCTGGTTTATTGAAATAGACTTGTAATTTTTCTCATGGCTTTAATATTATTAAAGTCAATCCATTCTTCATACTTCCCTCAGAGATATGTTATTAAAATTACTGACTGATTATGCTTGACTCTTGTTTCAAGTCCTTCAAAAGATCCTCGGTGTGTACAGGATGAAGTGAGCTCCTTGACAGGGTATATGCACAATAGGCTCTATCTTTCAAATCTCAATTTCTGCCACTCCTCTCCTTTCCAGCAACCCCAAACCACTTGCAGTTCTCACAAACAGGCCAAGCTCTTTGAGATCTCCATGTATTCTCCATATACTTATCATTGCCTATAAGGAACAACCCACCTCCTGTCAGCCCTCAACTGACTTGTCAAATGACTCCCTTATCCAATGTGACTTTTCAGCTTAAATGACAACTTCTTTGTGAAGTCTTCCACATCCCCTCATTTAACAAGCTTCTCTGTTCCAAGCACTTGTTAGGCCCTGGGGATGTAATGATGAACAAGACTTGGACCCACCCTCATAGAGATGAATGATAAGGTAATTATAATATAAAGTGACCAGTGCAGTGATAGGGAAAATACTAGGGAGGGGCAAATGACCTATACTAGGGGAACAGGGAAAGCTTTCTGGAGGAAGTGACATCTAAGTGACAAGGAGGGTAAAAAGAATTGGAATAGGCTAAGTAGAGAAGAGGTAGGTGGTAGAGAGTCGGAAAGTAAAGGATGGTCATCTAGGTAGAGGAAAAGAAATGTGTAAAGTTCTAACAGAGAGAAGGCATAGAAAAAATTGTGTGGCTTGCACACACAGTTGGGGCTGGAGGCTGTCAGCAGCAAGAGATGTGGCAGAGGCCAAATAATGAAGGGGCTTGGCCATCCATTTATTTACCCCAAATTTATTGGCATTATTATGTGTTGTTCATTATATTAGTGCTGGATATGTGATGGTGAGCCAGGCAGAAGTGGTGTCTGCTCTCACCAAACCAACACTCTAGCTAGGAAAGGGTAACAACAAAAAGGGTGATGAGTACCGTGAGAGGTCAAGTAAGAATACATAGCTAGTGCACCCAACCTACTTAGAAAAGATTGGTATAAATTTGTGGTCAAAATGACTATCTAATTGAACCCTGAAGAATGAGTAGAGTTAGCACAGGGAAGCAGAGAACGAAGAGTGCTCTAGGCAAAATGGGATGGCATATGCAAGGGCCTGGAGGGGATAGAGCAGTATTTGGTCAACTTGAGAAGAGGAGGTAGTTGAAACAGAAGAGATAGGTCAGGACCAGGTCACTAAGGGCCTTGTACACTCTTGTAAATACGTTCTTTATCCTAAGGCATGGGAAGCCAGGGATTGCATTCATAGTGGCCCTCTCAGTTTGAATCCTGCCACACGCCATCCACAAAAAATCAATTCCAGGTGTCCTGTAGATTTAAATATGAAAGGCAAAAAAAAAAAAGATAACTCAGGAGAATATCTTTATGACCTGAAAATAAGCAAAGATTTCTCAACGGGACTCAAAAAGCATAAACTATAAATGATTGATAAATCACATTACATTATAAGAATTTCTGTTCATCAAGAGGCAAAATATTAAAAAAGGGAACTAAATTAGTCCATTTCTGTTGCATAAAGCAAAGTACCTGGAAATGGATACTTTGTAAGAAAAC